GACGATGAAGGTTCATGACTTTATGAACATATTCAAATTCTGTGACTGCAATTTATCTGATGATATGCTAGTTTTCACTTTTCTCTCTTCTTCTCCAGGAACTCTCTATGCAGTCAGAAAAAAAGGTTTGTACTAATTCTGCTTTTGAGTGCATATCCCAGATAAATCATCCAGCTGTAGAATTTGAACTGAAAAGCCTTGCTTGCTGCTTTTTGGACTTCTTTTTCACTGTGCTGCTTTACATGTGTTGTTCTCTGCATTATATATTCTCTGGGGGGTTTAAGTGGACTTCTACCAACATAAACCCCCTCCAGGAAAAGTAATTTCAACTGTCATTACGCATGAAAAAGCAAAACTCTGAAATGGCAGTTTCTGGGGGCATGCTTCTGCTTTGACTAATGTGTTTCTTTACAATGAACAACACATGTACTGCAAAAAATTTCTAATGTGTCTCTGGAAAAAAAATAGATTTTTTTTTCTAGAAGTTTTGATTTGTTGTATTAATAGAAGATACAACAGATGTCATTGCATAAGCTTCATATTTTACAGACATAGTTTACTGAATTATTTAAGTTTAAAGAAAGTTTGTTGGAAGGTATTCGTAGACATGCCTGAATAAAGATGCCAGCAGGGACAGAATCTTGTTTGCTGAAATGGTGTTATATCCAAGTTGACTATATCTATGAACCATCTCAAAGATTCAAGTTGGTTGGATGATGTGGATGATGAAGTGGAGGTGAAAAGTAAGAAAACAGAAGGTATTCAAAATTAATACATTTCTGAGAATGTTCTTATGAAACTTAATGAAATAATGATAAGTTCAGTTCTCACACCTAATAACAGACTAATGATGGAAACAAAAGAAAATCATAATAGTCAACTAAAAGCAGAATCTTACTTCTCTCCTTTTTTTAGTTGCACTGATTCAAGCAGCGCTTCTGATTGTAGGATTGTTTGCATCTAACTTGCAACCAACTGATGCTAATTGCCACAACTGAGCTTCTTAATTTCTACTAAATGTGTCTGTGAATTGGTATACTAATTGTACTAAGAGTGAAACATTTGGTTTTTAAATTCTTTAATTACATATATCATTTTTTTCTGTGCTGCAGGAGAATTTCTACCATCACGAACTAAAGGTCTGTAACTCTCATTTTTACTTTGTTGCCAATTTTACTGCTAAATACTTCATTTAGATTAATGGAATACTTATCACGCCCATCACCGATATTGGGTTCTTCTTAATCCCCGTTTTCAGTGTAATTTTACTCCATGCCTTTACCTTTTTTTTAAAAAAAAGAACTGTGCCAAACCATGCATATGAGGCAGTGAACCATCTATCTGCACTACATTTACGGTTACGAACGTTTTCTTACAGACTTATTCTTCTCTTTCAGCAACAACTGCAGCCTTAGCTTACTTAAACTCTATGACTGAGTAAGGTCACTGCCTGTTAGGAATTCACTTTTCTGTTGCTGAAATAAATTCTCTCACACGTGGATTAAGTTACTAACCACAACAAACTGGCTAAATTAGTCTGATTCATTCATGTAGCAGCAGTTTGGCCGGTGTTACCTTGTTAAGTGAGGCAGTGGAGACGGGTACACAGCTGAGGGCTTACTGATTGTAGCCTGCCTTTAGTGCTACTCCTCCAGCTTTTTTTGGCCTTTGAGCATTTGAGCTAACACAATGTAGCCACTTCGTTGAGGTGTGCTCATGGGTGCACTAATTTACCCTACCCTGTGCCTTGACTTACAGGCTGGCCTGATTGAGTCACTGACGTTTATGCTTAACTAAATCCAGACTGAAAACTAAAACTAAGTGTGAAAATATATTTAAATATACTGAATTTTTT